ATGATATTCTAAATGATCGATAAATGTAATTATTAATTATGTTTATATATTTGTCATCACAATTATTTTCGTGAAAATACTTTTTAATACTTTATTTTTTAAACGTATGTGTGATGAGATGCAATCCATGTCCTCTTTGGTCTTTTCCGCTCATGTTACGATGAAATATAATATTCACACCCTCCCTTACTTTCACAATTCACCTAAAAAATTGAGTCAAAATCATATAAACAAACAATCAGTTTCTCTTTTCAAAAGTTATGAGAAAGAAGTTTATTATATATATAATTAATAAATTATAGAAATGAGTAGTTGTGTAAAATATATGAAGAATTTTGTTAATAGTTGTGTAGTTGATTTGACATTGAGAATGAGAAATCCACGTTTAAAATAAGTTGAGTTTTGATTAAACGTAGATTGATATCTGCCAAACCAAACATGGCCTGAATGTTTTATGTTGATTTGATGATTTTAATAATGTGGGTAGTGGGTGAAAGAAAGGGATACTATTGATGAGCACTAGGTAGCAATCTCAACCATGGATGGTTGGGGACGTTAGTAACTCCTATCTAACCTGAATTGACAAGAGTAAGTGGAGTGAGTTGAGACTTGAGACGTGCTTCTAGAATTCCTCATCACCAAACAAAATAAGACAAATAATAATTACAAAAACAACTACTTACAAAACACTGCAAAGGTGGAACCACACATACTATAAAAACATCGGCCAAACAAATAAGCCAACATAAAACTGGGTTTTGGTTTTCTACACTCAACAATAAGTTTGGTGTGCATTCCCACATTTTTTAACTTTTACTTTCTTGTTAGGTATGGTTTTAACATTTTAGGTTGCATACGTTTTTATTTTCAAATTTTTTAAGCAGGTACGAGTTTAAGTTTTTCATTAAATAAAAATGAAAAAAAGTAAAAAAAAAACATGATTCTTTAATTTATTGTTTTACAATTTTAGGCTAAAGAATGTCAATAAAAATTAAACTCATATTTTATTGATATCTCAAAATTCAAATTCAAATTAATTTTACACCTACTTTAGATACATTACAACTTAAATGTCAATATAAAACATCACATAAAAAATTATTAAAATAAAAGAACTACATTTATTATAATTTTAAGGATAAAAATATATATAAAATTTGAGACAAACAAATTTTAATTTTATATTCAAATTCATAAATTAAAAATATATTTAACCTCAAATTATAATATATTTTTTATGTATTATTTCTTATGAAAGAAAATTTATATAACTTTAATATTTTTACCTTTGTTATACGTACCCATCTACTCTTCATGTATATTTTATCTCCACATATTAATTAACTACTAAAATTCAGTTAAGCAGAACATCAAGTGCACTGCTCACTATCTTCTCACTATCTTCTTTAACTTTGTCATCACTATTTACTAAACAAAAATTTACTTCTTTTTTTGACCTATTTCCTGTAGTGCTTTTCAAGATGTTAGCTTTAATTTTCTAGTTTTCATTCTTAATCTCCTGTCTTCATAATGCCTATTAAATAAGTTTTTATTCTTTTTAAGTTTGATAGAATATACTATAATTTAAAATGCTTAATGCAAGTATGAAATTTATTTGATTGAGTTCTTTCACACATAAAAAGAACTACAATAAATGTATACTTTTTTTAAATAATAAGTTTTCCGTCTTACTCTATTTTATAAATGCATTATTTTGGTTGACGTACAAAATACCACTACTTAGAGAACAAATTAGGAAAAAAAGTAAAGAAAATCGACACTTTTGAAAAATTACATAAACACATCGAATTATTATTTGATTTAAATTTTGTTTAGTAATACTTTAATTTTTGGTTGCATTCCAAAATATATTTATGTTTATTTAGGAGTTATTTTGTTTTAAATAATATATTTGATATTTACTTCGGTGATTATATTTCAAGTAAACTCATGTTTAAAATTAACTAAGATCTAAAGAATAATCTGTGTTTAGTTAGTGATTAAGATTAAAAAATAGTCAATTGTACATTGTTGAACCAACCAATTTTATGTATTTTAGAACTTATCACTTAATTAATGTGAGATCATTAAAGTGATAAAATATTAATTTTGTTTAAATAAAACCATCCAACTTATGTTACTAAGGACATAAAAAGGAATATATATCAATTAGGTCATTCTACTTCTTAAAATAGACAATAGAAACCGTGTTACATATATATAATAGAATAAATTAAAAGATATTGATTAATGTATCAAACTTTTGAAGCAATATTCAAGAATAAAACAAAAGAACCAAGAAATAAAACCAGTAGAAGAAAAGTTAAGGGACGAAAAAAAGAAGATAGTAAATCAAAATTGATTAATAAAAAAATAGAAATAACAAATCAATTTTTTTCTCCTAACAAAACATTATAATTTATTGAAAAAATTTATTAGTTTATTAAATATATTTTTAATACCAATAAAAATTAACAGTTATTTATAATTTTTTAATTAATTTTATTTTCAAATATAATTTTATAATTAATTTAATAGAATATAATAGTATTAAAAGATTTTTTTTAAAAGATCTTTTTTTAGAAAATCGAACAAAAACTTTACTTATTTCACCCTTAAGTCGATTTATATGCATGTGTGATAAAAACACATGTATTTAAGTCGAGTTGTATGTGTGTGATAAAACACGTATATTTATATGATTAATGATGATATTGAGATGTATGTACAAAATAATGTTTTATATTAGATGTGATATGAACTTGAGGATTATCTTATTTTTAATACAAATAATTTAATTATAATTTGTGTGTTTTATAGTGAAAGTGTGATTTGAGTAATATGTATTATTTGTATCATATATTTGCTGTGTGTGTTTTTTTGTCTGTGTAATTATTTAAAATAATTAGCTCATTCTTTTGTACTTGTAAAATTTAAATAATCTTATTTTGTACATAAATAAGAAACTAGAAATATTGAATAGATTAGAGAAATCATGTTTATTTAGTTTTTTTAATTGATATTAAATGTGTTTGTTGTATTCATTAAAAAAAGCTATATTTAAAAAATAAAATTTAATAATTTTAAATTATCTTATATGAAATAATATATTTAAATAACCGAACATAAGTCTTTGATTTAGTCTCATACATTCCTTATTATAGATAAAATAACTTGTTTGTTCTTCCTTAGTACTCGTATAGTAATCAGGAAATAATCTGCAATTAATTGTGAATAAAACTTGTTATAGGAAGCGGCTTCTAATATAGAAAATTAAACAATAAAGTATTGTCATTTTCTAAAAAGCACACAGACATAATCTTTTTTCTCATCGTCATCATTTCTTTCTGTAAATAATGGCTGTAATTGAGTTAGAAAGATATAAAATATTCGTTGCACCAAACTTTACCTAAAATCAAAAACCCAAAATTCTTTTTCGTTGACTTTACACCTAATTTCATCTCCGTCCAAATCCAAAATTTATTTTCCTTCATTAATCAAAATGGAGTCGTCAAAACCTCAAATTAGGGTTTTGACGGCTGATTAAGATGGTGCTGTCTTCGAGACATTTTTCCATAAATCATGCTAATTGTATCTTGCAAGTAACTTATTTACAAAAATTTGAATAAGAAAGCTTCGAATTTCTATGTCCACAAGTTGTGATAATATATAATTATTTATTTCACTAAACATAGATGTTCAAAATTTATTGTTTAAAGATCAATGTAAAATTAATTACATTGATAAGTATTTGTAGTTTTAACCTTCAAATTGCTTTGTTTTTTCTTGCTTAAAGAATATACTATTTTCATGCACAAAAATTCTTTTAACTACATAAAATATCAATGATTACCAGTCTTATCTTTAATGCTTACAGTAATAAACTTTTATCTCAGAAATAATTTGTAATGAGTTGTGACGAAAGGAAAAAAATAAATAAATAAAAAACACCACATTAGCTAAGTTGTTTAATATATATATATATATATATATATAATTCTTGTTATTAGACTTATATTTTAAAAAAATTAGTGTTAAAGTATTTATTCAGATTAGTATCGATCACTATTTTCGATCATTTACTCCTTCTGACTTTTTAAATAAATTCAGTTCACTAGATTTTAATGATTAGGGAAATTGTTTAATTTTTTTTATTATATTAATTACAAGTGTAAAATGTTTATTACTTTTGAGAAAGACGGTTTTAAAGTGAAGAATTTGACTTTTTTGATAAAATTTCTCTTCCTAATTGTACTTTTTTATTCATAAAACTTAAATTGATGAGTTTTACTTTAAGAATTTTAGTCAAACCCCATTTTGTCCAATGATATATAGTAGCCAAAATGATTAAATTTAGTTAATGACACTAACATAAGATATTTATACATTGTAGATTTAAATATACTTCTAGTTTTATAAAATAAAAAATAATTATTTTTATTTAAAATTTATTTTCTATTTTTCAAATATTAAAATCGGTATTTTTGTTGTCTCTAGAAAGAAAGTGAATAAAATATTTTCGTTGAATTTTATATACCTGTGAGTGTGTCCTAATCCATTGAAACAAATTTTGAATTTTGAATAGAATTTTGTTTTATTAAATGGATTGTTTTAACAACCGTGTAAGTTGTGAAATTATTTTATTTATTTATATTGTTTTATGCATGGGAGTAAGTGAGGTATGATTGGAAAAATAGATTTGATTTAGTATTTATTAATATTTGAGAAGAAAGAAATATTATAATATAATGTTTTGAAATATATAGAGGTAAAAGTGAGGAAGAGTAATTAAGGGGAAAGGGAAGTAATAAAGTTAAAAGAAATAGTTAGTTAGAGTTGGTTAATTAGTATGAGGGGTGAAAGTGTGAATAGAGGAAAGAAGAGGGGGGAGATGGAAAAAAGAAGAAAGAGAGGAGAGAGAAAAAGAAGTTGAGGAACATGAAAAGCAGAGCTACCTACCAAATCCAGCACTAACTTAATTGTAACCACTCGTCTTTCTCACCAACTCGGTCAAATACTCTCTTTCTCTTTCTTTTTCTCTTTCTCTTACATTACATTACTTCTCAGAAAAAGAAGGTACCCGAGTCAATTGCACCTCCTCTTGTTCTCCACCACCTCCCATTTATATTCCTTCCACCCGCTTTTCTCACCAATTACTTTCCAGCTTCCATTCCCCACACACCACAACACAACACATCACAACACAAAACATCTTATTCTCTCTCTTTCTCTCTCACCAACCAACCACAACCATGGGTAGATCTCCTTGTTGTGAGAAGGAACACACAAACAAAGGAGCTTGGACCAAAGAGGAAGACGAACGCCTCATCAACTACATCAAACTCCATGGCGAAGGTTGTTGGAGATCCCTCCCCAAAGCTGCCGGTAAACTTTTCAAATCAAATTCAATACCAATTCTTTTCTTTCTTTCTTTTACACTAACCCCATTTCTCCTTTCTCCTTTCTCCTTTCTCCTTTCTCCTAACAGGCTTGCTCAGATGTGGCAAGAGTTGCAGACTCAGATGGATTAATTACCTCAGACCTGATCTTAAGAGAGGCAACTTCACTGAAGACGAAGACGAACTCATCATTAACCTCCATAGCTTACTTGGAAACAAGTATTAACACCATCTTCCTTTTTTCCCTTCTTCTTCTTTCCAATCTCTCCCACACTGTCACATCATTTCAATTTTCCCAATCATAATTTCTCATTTTTCTTTTTCTTTTTTTCTCTCAGATGGTCTCTGATTGCCGCCAGGTTACCGGGCAGAACCGATAACGAAATCAAAAACTATTGGAACACTCACATCAAGCGCAAACTCTACAGCCGCGGAATCGACCCGCAAACCCATCGACCGATCAACGCCGCCTCCACCCCTCCGCCAACCGCAGCGGTTTCGCCTCCCTCCACCGCCGCTGTCCCTGTGGCAACGTCATCGTCCAACAAAAAAATACACAGCGACAGCATTAACAGCTCCAACACCCTCGCCCATGATGTTGTTATTAATAACAACATCAACGGTAACAACAGCAACGGTTTTCATTTGGTGAGCCATACTGGCTATGCCAACGCCATAACGAAGGTTGGAACCGACGAAGATTCTAACAGCAGCAGCGGCGTTACCGTGGAAGAATCCCTCCCTCACCATCAAATCAACTTGGACCTTTCCATTGGCCTTCCCTCTTCTCGGCAAGTTTCTTCTTCGGTGAACCCAGAAAAGTTGAAAGCGCAAGAGCATGATCAAAAACCGCATGTGTTGTACAATTGGTATGGGAACATTACTGGCCAGAGTGTTTGTCTTTGTTACAGTCTAGGGCTTCAAAGCGACCAAGCTTGTTATTGCAAAGGCATGGGTGCTACTGCTACTGCTACAACGGTTACTACAACTGCCACAGACAGTAATCTATATAGATTTTACAGACCCATGAATATTTAGACCGTGAATGTCATGTTATTTGGTGTGACTTCTCTCTGTTAACAACATGGAAATAGTAGTTGTAGAATCCCAAATTTTGAGAAAATCCTAGATAATTTTTTGTCTCTAGCTTTTCATTTTGGTTTTCATCTTTTATATATTCAATTGAATTTCAAACGTGAGAGGATGTGAATTCTTTGCTGGTCGAGATTTTTGGTTGAATGCTAAATTGAAGCCTCTTAAAAACTGGGTTTTGTGCTTTACTTTGCAGACACTCTAAAAATGTTTACTGGGCTATAAGAGATTAAAAATTCACACCGTTCCAACTCTTCACCACTGTTCCATTATTCTGGACATAAATACTTGTTCGTGTTGTTTAATTTTAATTAGAAAGTAGTGTTGAATTTAACACAAACAAAAATAAGTACGCAGGATGTTTATAGTGATGCTGATTTTACTGTTGATTCAAATAATGAAAATATCACTTGTCCTTGTTTCTTAATGTCTTTAAATTCTCCCAAAAACTAGCATGGAAAGCATTTGCAATGGGTTGGGTGGAGGGATTTTGATATGAAAGAGGCAGTTAATAGAGAGGTAAGTGGTTATGATTGGTTAAAATTTGAATATTCTTGGCGTTGTAGTGGTGGGTCAGTAATGAGTTGTTAGACATTAACTATGTTTGGTAAGTTACAGTAAGTTTGATACATATGATCTAAAGTGAGCAGTGGCAGCAGGAACAGTGGTGAAGTTAACTAGCTGAGGCTAGGAGAGAAGGATGTTACATAAAGCAAATTCAATTCATTGATGTTTGTAATATCTTATAGCTAGTGTTTAGGTAGGAGACAGCTTTTGAATGCATACCTACCGTTTACTGTCACCAGAACAAGACAATTATGAGAAAACTGGACTATACTTGACAAACTTTCCTTCACATTCATTCATATACATGCTACAATTCAATTCATTCCTCTATCCTCTTTCTTGGTCTACGCAAGCTAGATATTGTTTTTTGTATTTATGTACTGTAAAGTAATAATACCACATACTCATACATTTAACTTTT